AAATTCAGTTAATAATTGAAAAAAAATATTATATGGTTTTTATGTAAATGAGTATTTAAATCTAGCTTAGTTATATCAAAAAAAAAAAATTCTAGCCCAGTCTACTTTTAGTTTCTGGATCCGTCCATGTCCGAGACTATGCCGGAGAGAGATGGCGAGCTGGGTGCTTCACGCCTGGCAAGTCAACTGGGGTCAACAACGACTGGGGCGGCTAGCCGCCGTTCAAATTTATTTTACTAATTTATTTAATGAACAGTAAATTTAAATATAATAATAATTTTTATTATTTAATTAATGTATATTCCATATGATTATATGTATCATTCATCTACACAAAATCAATAGTTGGACTTGTCAATTGAGTCGTGAGGGACTCATTTAAACCCTATATATAAACTTAGACCATCTTCAACCGAAAAACTTATTCTCAAACCCATTTTACAGTAACTGTCACATCAAATACTAATTCATCTCCAACCGAAAAACTTATTTTCAAACTCAAAAGAATATTCTCAAAATATTCTCTTTCACATCAACTTTATAACTTTTCAATACTTCCTACATATTAACAATTTTACAAATTAGACCCATAATTATTTTATATTTGATTGAAAAAATAATCAATTAATTTATAAATTAATAATAAGTAATAAAATTATTGAATACATTTTTTTTTTCAGTAAGTGAGAAATTACATTATTCTTTATTTTAAATTTGAATAACAATTATATTATTTGAATTTATTATCAATATATCTTAATCTCTTCACATATTTTTTCAAACTTTTGATGAAATCTCCTAGAAATATTTTACAAATACTTTTATAATTTTTTTTATTCAAATGAATATACTAGAAATATTTTACAAATACCTTCATAATGTTTCGATTACACCTATTATAGAACGTTCACGCCTTATATAAATGTCTAATTTTATTTGTGTATATTTCATATTTTTTTAATATTATTTTAATTGTGTGTAATATGAAAACATGTGTAATAAATTAGAGATGAACAAATATAATTCGTCAACTAGTTTTCTATTATACTTTTATATAAAAATAAAAAATTGCATACCCAACAAATAATATATATATATATATATATATACTTTTATATAAAAATAAAAAATTGCATACCCAACAAATAATATATATATATATATACACATATATATATATACACATATATATATATATATATATATTGTTCATTCAAATAAAAAATATCAACTTTATAGATGCAAAATAAAAAGAAAATATATTTCTTTCACTAATTTTTACATAGCTTATATTAAAGAAATAAAAAGATTAACAAATAAAAATTAAATTATATAAATATTAAAAATAAATTATTAAAAACACTAAATGGAATATATATTATATAATTATTTATAAATAAACTAAAATCAAAACTATTCAATCTTTTAAAAATCATATTAATCTGGGCCAAAATACAATTCAAAACAATTTTGGGGCCAAAAGTCAATTCACAAAATAATTTGCGTTTATGAACAGTGCAAACGCATATTTGCGTTCGGAAGGAGAGAGAAAGGGGCCAAAACGCATTTTGCGTTTCCGTTTGCGCACCGATTGGAACAATTTTCCGTACTACGCTTTGCGTTTACAGCTCCGTTGGAGTTGGTCTTAAATATGTTAACTCAAAACACGCCTAATTCCATATTTGAAAATCTCACCCAAAACATACAATTTACATACAACTAAAAAAAAAAAGTAGTACAAAGAATCCAGCTGACCAGGCGCAATGTCTCATCTCTCAAGAACAAGCTGTAAGCTTATACTAATTATATTACAAAATATGAACACTCAATAATAAAACTCAAGTACAACTATAATTACATGATATTTAGGATGCTTAATTCCCGTATTAAGTTGCAGCTCGTCCCCTAGCAGCTTCGGCAGCTCTCCCGCTGCCTCTGAAGTACATGTAGACTTGCTGAAAAACGAGCACCAACATTTTTCAGGCATACTATTTCGAGCTCTAGATTATTATTGCCCAAAATTAGGATAGGTTAAAAAGATAATTAGACCTGTATAACATAAACGCTAAGAAGCGACTCAAGGCAGAAAAGTCCGAACCCAATGAAGTAAAATATCTGCAAAAACATAAATGTTATTGCACTTTGCGAATCAATAAAACCATTTTCGTATGAGTTGTGAAATTTACGGATACGACCCTCCTCGAAAGGCTTGAGAAAATTGCAGCCTCAACAGGAGATACTTGTTAAGTTAAATAGAATCTCCGAGGGTGTTAAAACACTTCAGGAGCTGGGCAGTTATTTTCAATATTCTGATAAGTTGCTTGAGTAGTTGAATTTTGCAATAAGCCTAATCCCTAAATCATATTAGAATTGATGGCTGGGCAGAGTTTAAAACTTACCCCGACCAAAACATGATCGCCTATGAGATCAATAGCTGGCAGGATACCTCTGTACAAAAATAAAAGATCAACATGATTTGATATGAAATAAATTGAACGATGTTTAGCTAAAAACGAACACAAGAATTCACTAGAAAATAAATACATAGACGAACAGATAAATTGGAAGGTAGTAAACTTACGCCAGAGATCTTCCTCTGAAAACGATAGGAGGTGCAACAGCAGCAAAGATGCAGAACCCAATGTGAAGCTGTGAGTGTGAGGTGGTAGTTGACATTTGACAATAAAAGTCATATTTCCGGTGAAGAAATATATAAACTTACCGAGTAAATTTCATTGAAAGGTATATAAACTTACCAGGTAAAATATGAAGAACGACCCAAAGCTCAAAGCACTTCCCTTCCTGCAATATGGACATGGATGTTAGATCTGACTACATGAAGATGGGTGATAGTATCCATTGGACCATTTTCATTTGCCTTTCAAAGCATAAATAAATCGTACGGTCCACTTTCTATTCATCACATCCATCTCATCAACATATGCGATTTTGAAATTACAATCTATAAAACGTAACATGTTTTTTCCATTCGCAGCAAGAAAACCGAATCTGCCATCTGAGAGAATTAAAGACAAGTCCACTTTTCTTTTTTTTTTTCTTTTGGCAGTTAGCAGACTAGACGAGAGGGGTAATTTCGTAATTATTCCATCAATGGGGAAGAAGCACGAACCTGAAAGCTCGGTAGAGTGGTCGATACCATAACACATAGGCTCCAGGAACCCCAGATACGAAGTAGATAATAGCAAGAAACCAGCTTCTTGAATCTTTGTGAATCAAAAGTGAGGATTATTGAGAAATCAAAAGAGAAGCACGGCGTGTAGTGATTATATCGAAGAATAAATACTAACCTCCCCTTCTAATCCATGCAGAGCTGACAGCTATGATGTTCCATAGAAGTGTAAAGGTAAGCCCTGAACATCACCAATAATCATCAGTGGGAGTTACTCATATGTAACGCATTTACTAAAATGTGAAATGTGACGAAGTACGAGTCCTAAAATTTGATTTTAACTCTATTTTCGACGAACCATAACTGGCAGCGAGAAGTTATTACCAATTATTATATACTATAAAAGAATAGTAAGCAATATAAGTAAAGCAAGCTTCACGTTCACATTATCAATTTATTTGAATTTATAATTATATATACATATCTGACAACTCTATTTAAATCCTTCAAAGAGAAAGATTTGGTACACTAGAAAATGCAATCTTATCAGTAAATAATTCGGGACTCAATCTCTGTGAATAAACTGCATATCGTTATGAAAAGCATAAAGCAAAAGCGACGTTTTTATTATTTATTATGCATAGTGATGTACATAACAGGGAACTTCACCATTACCCACTTAAAAATATTTGTTATAATATAACTTGAGCAACATAAAAGGTCAGCCAAAAAACACAGAGTTACATAAATTAAATTTTCAATAAATGCATAAAAAAGAAAGATGCCTTCCAATTCAAATTTAATCAAATCCTGAAAGTCGAAACCACTCTCATCCTTCACATACCTAATGGTATACTCCCTCTGGCCCCAAAAGATCGTCCACATTTTCATTTGAGGTCCCCCCAAAAAGATAGTCATGTTTCCATACTTAGTATGTAAATAAGTTTACATTTCCCGTATACCCTAAACACCCCTACTTTAGTTGCACTTTGAAAACAAAACATCAGGAAGACGAGTACAAATACGACTGTGAATAGGGGTCTATAGGAAAAGTTGAGGTTTAACTAATTTTTTCTTAAACTATGTTAAATAGTCGTAAGCCTATCTTCATGGAACAGACAACAACAACAACAACATACCCAGTATATTCCCAACAGGTTGGGGTCTGGGGGGTCAGTTGTACGCAGACCTTACCCTTGTAATTATACAAGGAGGCTGTTTCCGTAGCGACCCAAGGTGCATTGCGTCGTTTGATATATTTTTTCTAGAAACTTCACTAATAGAAGAAGCACTAGAATTTAATTGAGCCATTTTGATCTAGTCCATTATTAGCACTATGTGAGGAAAACTGTCAACAATGACTCTTCCAGCTCCATTTGCAATGGACAATAATTATATCTTCATGGAACAGAGAACAACAATTATAATGAGTGGTCAATTGCAGGACTAGACTACCAGATGCTCATTACTGTGCTGAAAACCAAAGAACTTCAACAGTTAACATACCTAAAAACGTTGAAAATGCAACATATTGCAGCTTCTGAAGATGAATTGGTATTTCATTTGCAATATCATGATGGATAATAGGGAAGAATGGAGGCCAATTTTTCTCCTCAAGAACAATACCAGCTGCAAAGAGACGAGCAATAAATTGCAATTAGTCCTGATTTTAAAGTCCACAAATTCCAATAGAAGGTACTCAAGGAGATTGTGATTATATTTTCTCAATAAATAGCATCAACTAATGATCATATTAATGGTCTTGATTCAGTAGGTAAAGAACCTCGAGCAATAGCTTCTTCTTTCCGTCTCACTTCCTGCATATCATTTATACATATTAGGAACTTGTGCAATTTATTAAGCTGAAAATTTAGAGGTCAGTATAAACTCTGATTCTACGAGAAACGAAGGCAAACCACGGGCCATAAAATTTAATTTCAGAAGTCAATATATACGCCAGTGGTCATATATCAAATTTCAACACTACATGTCAATGACTCCAAATTAGTGCAGGAAAGCTTTTCTGAAAAGCAAAAATTCTAAATTTCGGTTTTATATTCTAAAATCGATTCTGGTAAAAGAAATATATGTCCTTCTATGATAAGCTTTACCGGCCAAGCTCGTAAATAAGAGATAACAACAATATATTTCCAAAAAAATGTAGCAAATTAAAAACAAGTACCTGTTCCCTCCTATTCAATTCAGCTTCCTTAGCCCTCAGTTCTCTCTCCTTCTGCTTCAAATCATGTGTTTGAAATTTGCATGATTAGATAGATAAATCCTAGTCAATAAACAGATATACGACTGCAGACAAAAGTTGGAAAAAAATAAGTTGCAATTACCGAAGTACTATCAAGTGGGATATCAACTGGAGCAGTGGGATTGTAGAAATCAGCAGGCTCTGGTGGAAGGGGTGCGAGCCGAGAGTTTGTAGCAAGAGGAACACTCCCAGTATTCTGGACACAACGATACTATTATAAGCCACTCAAGCGAAACAGTCTAAGATATCTTAACTGGTGAGACGTCCCTAAACTAAATTTTAATTCAAAAGGCACCATACAAAGAGAAAAATTTAAGAAAAACTGAGTACCAAAGAGAAATTGAATAGTAAACCTAGAAAACTAGGGAATTAACACCAAAAAAAAATATAAGAATATCTTAAAGAAAAGATTTAAAAAAAAAAAACCAACTAAAAACTGAAACAATAGCTTGGGTTCACCTGAATACCTCCTGTTAGACAGTTTGACAGGAGTTTTTGCTAATCAATATTGCATGCAAGGATAAACTAAAGGGCAGAATGAAACTAAGTGTAAGCATGTGTATAACAGTCATAGATTGCGTGTCTTTTAGAGAACTCCTAAGAGGATGCTTGGATACAAAACTTATAAAAAAAAAAAAATCCAATCTTTTCTAATTCAACTACTTTTTTGATATCATCCTCAACTCAACTACTTCGAGTAATCAACCTCAACTCTAACAGGATACCATCCCCGCCGGTCAAGAAACAAGTGGCTGGAGGAAGTTATTAATATAGATATCACACATGGTAATTGTATTAAATGAAAGCTCTATGAAATGCAAGGCCTACTGAGTTTATACCTGAGGCCAAGACATTTATGTCTGACAGGAATCTGACACGCCATAAACGAAATGTTAAACCCATTTTTTCCAATCAATAATTTGGTGTTGCAGCAATATGGACTCAGAGAAGAACCAACTAATACTTATTTGGATTTAAAATTTGAAAACACGGGACACTGAATTTATAGGAAATAAATGTGAACTAGTACAAACAAAAAGATACTTCCGGTCAACTGTGAATAATTTTTTCGACTATGTGAAGGGAAACAAAGTCAACTCACTGTATTAAAAAATGAGCCTCCGCTAAAGTTCGACTGCCCGCCTGTTTTTCCTCTTCCCCCTCCATCCTGGGTTCAGAAAAATATTGAAGTTTCATTCATGGATGTATCAGAAAATTTAAAGCCAGTTAACTTTGCCGGGGTAGAGTAAAAAAAAATGAAAATTCATTTCATATTTTGAGACTTCATACACACCAAATATGCCAGTGCATAACCTCGATTCCAGTATCATCATTTCTCACAGATCCTTATATTAATGGGAATCACTTGTTAGTTCTTTCTCATTTAACTTAGTTTGCCAGTAAAATGTTGAATGTAACTTATATTTCTGGCTGGGGAACTTAAGAAACAACTAACCCAAACCCATCCTGGAAATACTCACCAAACCGCAAGGAAAAACCTCGGTTTTAAATTTTAATTAACAAATTACCTTTACTAGCACCTATAACATCACGACCCCTGGAATGGAAACCACGAATCTTTCACTAATCACACTTACAACAGCAAGAGTGTGGCTTGGGAAGGAGGGGAGGAGTAAATGTGAATTCTTGAGTCGAAAACAAAATAAAAGATAACAACAATATATATTCAGATAGTGGCTTTCATGTTTCGCCTCTAAGCCCCTGTACAATAGATATCTGTCCAAATCAAGGAAGCTCCAAAGATCCACACCAGCAAGTTCAAGCTAGTACCCAAAAAAACGAGCCATGGTTTGCATAAATTAGCTAGATTCCTTTCAATCACTGGCTCAGAAACTTAAAGAGGCTTACAATAGCATTAAACTCTCAAGCAGAAGATCATCACAAGCATATAACGCAGCAGAAACTACTCATGTCCTAGGAAAGATAATCATATTGAGTACGCCAAAGGGTCAACCAAAATCAAGCAGCAACCCCAAACCCCAATTTCAAATAAACAATTTGTTGGGCACAAATTATTTGGCTTGATTGATATGAAAGCAGATATAAATGAAACTTACAGCAAAGGGGTTCACTTCTTCTTCCTCCTCAAAAGGGTTTCTGTCGTAACGGTTGGCCATTTTTGCTTGTTGTACTGCTAAAATTCACTTGCGATATCAGTTGAACAGAGATGCTTTTGAGATCTAAACGATGAAATTGGGATTGTTTGGAAGAGTATTAAAGCGTTTGAAGCTTGCCGGAGAAGAATTTCGGAAGATTTGGAGATGGGAAAGAGAGAAAGTTCGTTCAGAGAGTGCCGTCGTGGACTTGGCCATGATCACTGGTCAGCTTAAGTTTGCTTCGAAAGTTTTCCATAGACCAATTCTAACTTCTAAGAGAGAAAAATAGTGATGTTTCAACCAAAACCTTGTTTATTGTAGGGAATAAAGGACTATTTTGCACTTGTTGTAATTGTATTATTACGAGATTTTGAGATGTTTATAAATAAGAGTTGTGATGACTATTTTGTATTTATTGTAACTAGTAATCCCCCGTGCGATGCACGGGAAAAATTATAATTTATGTGTTTTTTTTAAGGTAATTTTGTATATAGCCATAATAAAATCGAAAAGACATAGCTAATAATAATAATAATAATGATAATTATAATATAATAATAATAATAATAATAATAATAATAATAATCACTGCAATAATATTTGTTTAATTGGATATAAAAAAAAATCATATGTACATATTATTGTACATACGGGTGTACATAGCACTCATATTGAGTGAGACCCACCAAAAATAAAAAATCAAGTAGACCTCATTCCATATGAGTATTATGTACACCGATATGTACATTTATTATATACTTGTAGCATTTCCCATAAAATATATCAAGTATTGGACTATGTTCCATAACATCGACACTAATTAAATAAACATTATGCCATAAGTCCAGATTTTCAGGGTTTTCATTTCATTTTTTTCTCTCCTCCCCCGACCAATTCTCTATATTGTGTCGGTCGTCTCTTCATTTTTGTTTTTATTTTTATTTTTATTTTTTTTACCTGCAGAAAATGAACGTTTCTAGACAAATCGATCACATATATTGTGATTCTTACATTTATGTTTAGATTAATTTAGAATAATAATTTGAACACATTGTGTTT